TTAAATAAAAACCTCGCCATCAATATTATTAGGCTTAATTCGGCTAGATAAATAATTTTTAGGTAGTATGTTATAAAATATTTATCCTTGTATTTTCAACTATTGGACCATCCCAAAAGTTTTGAGGCCTTTTTTTCATAAATATAAATGAAGCGATGCAAAAACATAAGACAATTTCACTGAATAATATAAGCAAAAGTCTGTTCTTTGATATTTTGTCATCTCTCCGAAAGCTGGAAAATTACTTTTTAAGTTTATTCGTAAAGACTTTACTGCGGTGCTCTTTAAATCTTCAAGGAAGTGAATTCCGAATTTTGAAGATGTGAATGCGAATTAGAGAATTTTGAAGTACATTGAAAATATGAAAATCTGAGGAGGCAAGGTCTCCCGAATATGGGGATATACATAACATCTCTGTGACAATCAATAAGTCATAGATCTGATTTCAGAGAAGTATGGACTCAAGTATTGTTATGATGGAAGACAGAACCTCAAAGATTGATCAGTTCTGTTTACGTTTTGCTTCGATTTCTGCTTCAAAATGCCATTTGGGACAAGTATGTTTCAGAATTTATTATTTGATTTGGTGGCAACAGTTCACAGTCTTGAAGTCCTTTGAAATTCCAATACACACAAAGCATGACTTTTTCGGAATGCAACCCTCTCTCTATTTATTTAATGGAAGATCTTTTGGCTTAAACTATAATTTTTGTGTAACGTTATTATATAGTAGTAACTTCTCCTATCCAGCAATAATTCGTTTCAAAAAGGGAGCCTATTTATTTCTTTTCAGCTAAGAATCACATGCCGAATCCATAGCAAGCATATTCTGCTCAGTATGGGGTACCCATATATCATAGCGGTTTATCTAGTCTTCAAATGATTATGTACTGTACATTCTTGAATATGTAGTTTTCTTTATAGTTTCTGAAATGTAAAATATGGATTCTTAGCGATATCTTGTTTTAACACTTTCATGCCCAAAGCGTCCAAGACACCAATTGTTCAAACGACCAAAGGCCGCCCGAACAGACGAGATCGCATGCTCTGTTTCTATACTCCCCGTAAAATACACAATTGCGTAAGGTGCAATATCCGCAAATACATCGTATCAATTTATCTTAATAATAGACAGCCTTGTCCCAAGAGTATTCTTTTGTGGTTCCTTATCTTTAAATTAGACATGAGTTAGTATACGCTCAGTGGTATCTCTTGTTTTAGGAACTAGAAACGACACCATTTTAAATTCCCCTCCCCGTCTCTTTGTTGGTTAATGAATGGGAGGCGAAAGAAATTCCTGTAAATATCAAATTGAATTGTTGGCGTTTTGGCATATTAAACAAACAAATGAGCAATGCCTTGGCGGTCGAAAAGTTTATAAGTCCTTTTAACTAATGATGGTTGTCCTGTGAGGGCATCATCTTCGAGGCTGAAATTTCTGAAATTAAACTTCTCAAAACATCTACGAAATATCTCATCAGAAACAGCACACACTTTACGAGCGGTTGGATAATTTGTTCCCTTTTTTTAAACATAGAAGCCTCACATAATGAAAATGAACATTTGAGTTTTTAGCATGGCACTAAAACTACAATTATGCCCCATTATACGCTAGAGTTATGCAGTGTGAGGAGAAAAGCCTGTATTTATATAAACAACTGCCTCCACCAAGTTCACTTGTTGTGGAAGTAATAAAACAGTTAAAAGAAAACTTGCTTCGATTTGAAAACCTCAGAAATTTCCGGTTGGCCTAGTATTATGTAAGAAACACTTATTTTATTTAAATTTTATATACAGAAATTGTATTTACAAGATTTATTTACAAATATTAACATATTTTGTTTACGCAAATTTTTACAGAGGTTTTTGCGGACAAAAAGACATCAAAGCTGAGAGAATTCGTAATTACTAAGAAGTAAATTACTAGTGATTAAAGCGGTTGAGAAGTGCAAGTTTAAAAGGAGGCATTCATTTTCGTCGTCAAATATCTTATGTCTGTCCTTTAACACGTAGTGCAGCTGGTTTCAGATTTAAAGAGAAAAAAAATTACTAATTATTAATTTGCTACACTTACTATACATCAACTTTTAAAATTATTTTCTAAAACATTAAATTCAAAGGAATATATTTCTTAGGCCTCAATTCATCTGGCTCAAATCTTAACCATAGCCAAGTTTAAAGAAGATCTTATTCACGCTTCATCGTAAAGTAAAAGTGAACAGCAATACAGAACTGGCTTCCGATTCATGAACATCAAAGAATTAAACAATAAAGAATAAGTAACTTGAAATATAGATATGGGATTAAGATCAAAGACCTAATCTTCACAATGGTATTCGTGTAAAATAGTAAAACCTTTAGTGATTAAGTTGTAAAATCTAACTCTTTTATCATGCAACTAATAATCATTGTAATAAGCCAGGCGGCTTCTCGCACAGGCTCAATAGCACCCAGGAAAAATGTTCAAATTTCCCTTGTATTTGATTCAAACTCTTTAACAAAATTGCCCGTACTTCGTGCTCACAATATCACCGACGACTTGCGGTGGGAACTTCATAATAATTTAACACTAACTTAAAGTGGCGAGGAGAAGTGCTGGACTACTTAAAACTAACAGGCTGACTCAACAATCTACACTTGCGATAGACTTTAATAAACTACCATCAACTAAGATTAACAGCAGAAGGACGAAACAGCGACGTGCGCTATACTAGCTCTGTCTAACTATCTCGTTTCGCCCGTTTAAATACGCTTCTTCACTTTAACCTTATTTGCGTCTTGGCGAGGAAATGCGACGGGAAATGAGGAGTGCAGAAAGGATTTCAAAAATTAAAATAATTGGTTAGTTAAACTGAGGAAAATCTTAAAAAAAAGTCCCTTCTAGCAAAAATTCAGAAGACTGAGACTCACCTCATCTAAACATAAAATATAGGCTGAGCTGAACAGTTAAATCCGAAGACATTCAGAAAAAAGGCAGAAATCGTTGGAACATTTTCGCAAAGATGCAGCTATCCAAAACTGTTTACATACATTTCAGACCGAACCAAAGGCCGTGTTTTTGTAAATTACAAAGAAAAAATCTGATGTGTATACCACATGACTTCCTTGTATGGAATATTAAATTACACTAAATTTTCTTGCATTTCATTTAAACATATTGAATTAACAGTTAACGAATTTTGAATTAAATATACTTCGTCAATTGCGTATAAACTACAATAGAATAAATGCACTCTTTAAATTTCAGTATATTTATTTACCATAGCGACCGCCTTCAGCGCTAAGTTCACTTAACAGCGTTACATCTCATTCATTTTATAACTCAGAGTGCACACAAATTATATCATCTGAAGAATTACCACGTTCTCTATTCAAATACTATAATAAATCTAAAACGACATATAGAAGGAATTAAACAAATAAAAAAGAAACAGTCTTTCACAGACGATTCAGCGCCGCTTACATAATGCGCATGCGCTACTAGTTAATTCAGTTCTCACTTCGCGGCGAGGCAAAAGTACATAAATTATTTTCATTAAAAATTGAAAGATATAGAAAAACATAAAACACCAAGTGCAGTTAAAACGATTTTTGCAATTAAAATTACAGTTTTTACGCAAAAACAAGCTAATAATTTAAGTGATAATTCTAGAAAGAATTAAGCATAATTCAATTCGCAATAATAAAAGAAGAAACTATTTTGTTGTTACGAAGCTTAGTTTCTCTAGATTCCTCTCCACTTCTCTGCTAAGTTTCAAATGTAAACAAATTTGGCTGTCATGGTAAAGAAAAATTAGGCTTATCCGCACTTAAAAAAAATTTAATTTGTTGATAATTCCACAATTATTGCATGCAGGTTAAGTAAAGGTATAAAAACCTTAACCGGAAGATAAGAACAACATAATTCAAACATTTTCAAAGCAAAAAATGCCCAATTTACAAACATGTAAGAATAAAGAAACTGAGCGAAGTAACAGAGTGGATATATATATATATAAATTTATATACTTTTGGTGCAGCCGATTGCAACCAGAATGGGAGATGCATGTTATCACAGTCCTATATACACAATTTCAACGTTCTGAGGCTAATCGTGTTTGAGTTATATGAGATATATACGTACGTACGTATAGACGCCCCGAAAAAAAACCGCTTCAGAATTCATTTAAAATCAGTTTTATAATGTTTTGGGAGGAAAAGAGTCCTTTATTCTGTCCGAATTTCAGGCAAAAATATAGTTAAATTACATTCGATAGCGGTCAAAATGGATATTTTCGTTGAAATATGATACCTGAAATTTTTCGCGATTACAATACATTCTTTTACTTACTTCGTACAATGGAGTAAAAAAAAAGACAAATTTGGTAAAAAAGCAGCGGATCATTTTTTCAGTGAATGCCTTGAAATTCTGTAAATAGATAGTAATAAATTGCTAAGTGAAATACTACTCATATTTTTTGTCTGAAATTTCTCAAACCCTCAGAGAAGTTTGTAAATTTTTTAAAGAATCCTGCTTCTCAAATTACAGAACAGATCATTTAAAAGCAAGTAGTATTTATTTTCACAAATTTAATAATTTATTAAAACGATTTCTTTCTTTCTGAAGTAAGGAAAAAATATTGAAATGTGTGAGTTCTCTTTTTCCTGCATTTTTTAACGCAATCACCGAACACCATTGTTATTTCCTTAATTTCTCCCGGTTCCGAAAATAATCTTCTAAGAACTAACTACTTACTTCAAGCATAAAAGAACAAAGAAACGCAGTGCCAATAGAAACGCCATTATTACATTAAAAGTTTGTTTCAAATGTTCGGTATATTTCTTTAAACAATTTTCTCAATTACGCAATCAAGAGATTTACGAAAAAATAAATCTGAAAGCAATACTGAAGACAGAAAGGGAAAACATTCATTAAACAATACGCTGTCCAAATAAGATTACATGACAAATGGAAAGAACTAAAAAAAGTAAAGAAGAAACTGTCCTTTACTCACTAGCGCCAGCGGCGGCTATCCGTTACGCATGCGCCATTCCTTACCACGTTGTAGTTGGTCATCCTTCACTCCAATTCATTCGGTGTCCCAACACCGGCAAGTTTGAGGTGAGATGGTGAGAGCATGCTCTCTATTCATTGGAAGCCTCCGCTCATGATTGTAGCGTGTATTATCCACGGCGGAGCTCTCTTTCTGTGACTTCCGCGTTATAAAACGGGATAGGGAATCACTGGGGAAAAGTTCTCACGGACGACAAATTTCACGCTCAAGTTGCCATGTAAAGTTGTTTCTCCCACAATACACGTGGTAAAGAAGAAAGACTGCAAGCGTACCGTAAAATGGATTACGCGCAGTACTGTTTTTCTCACGCATCTTGGAACTGTGTACTGCTGTTTCTCACATTTGTATTTTTATGCAGTGTCGATTACAGATACGCATCGTCAATATGAACTGCATTCTGGATTTTTTAAAATATTTCTGTGATATATATTAACAAGTTTTCAAGAACGCTATAATTATGGCATGGAAAACTGTTAGCTGCTTGTTATTGGTTTACTTAATAGAAGGTAAGATATTTAACATGCTATATTATTCAAGTTCGATATAGTAATGTATGCAATTTTTCCCCTCTTTTGAGAATTTTCATCCTCAACCCGCTTAAAAAAGTTATAAAAATTGAATATTCTTTATTAAATAGAATGCTTATCATTTAGCAAATAAGATGTAAAATAATTTTAATTAAACTAAAAATAGGATTTATATAAAAAAGGAAGGGAAAATAAAAACAAATTAAGGCTTTCAGATTTTATATTACGTTATTTCAACGTTTCGTGTGCTACCTTTATTTATTAAATATAATGTTCTTAGCACGTAAAACACAAAAAATTTAATTCAACAGAAATGTAAAATATTTAAAAACAGCAAAACAAGATATCTTTAGAATTTCCGATACATAGTCTCGCATACTGGAGATTTTTTTTTCGTATAGTGTTGTCATTGCTTGCTTTGAAATCGTTGAAATTAACGTTTGAGGTACTTATAAAAAAGCAGATGCTGTTTCATTTTAGAGTTCCACAGCTCTAATTAATCATTGTTGCAGGGTTTTTAAAAGTTTCCGTTTTCAACTAGATTCTTAAATAGAGAAATAGAAAGTTAAAGACATTTTTAATAAAGGTAAAACATATTAAAAGCAAAAGAACAGTAACATATGAACAAATAATTGATTAATTTAATCAATAACGTTCTTATAAAAATGCATTTTTTCATATATTTCCTTTAAATGCAACCAGTTTATATTACTGAAAATTTTCCCTCCTCGCAATAAATTATGAAAACTGGAGTAATTTAAAATGTGGGTATACTGCATTGTTATTCCTCAATAAAATAAGATAGCAGATCAAGCACTCACAAAATATATGTTAAATTTATTTAATTTAGGCAATATATCGCTTAAATAGTAGTTACAAGTTAAAGTAAATTATGAATACTTCTATACTGTGTCCTTCATCTATTAATCCACGTTTATTTATAATCTTTTTCTATTCTGTATAAATAATCTTTATTTCAACATTGCACAGAAAAATCTTCTGTATATATTAGAATGATGGTTTAAGTAAATTCATGTACCTTTACCTGCTGATATGGCCCGTCTATAAATTTATGCTTTTGTATGAATAATTAATAAAATAGGCGATATAGAAATGAAACATATGGCAATATACTATTTGAAAGCATTGAATATAATTTTAAGGAAAATTGTTTAGATTAACAAATATGACGAAAACAATGTAAGATAAATGCTTATGGTTTAGGAAGTAGTGATAAATACGATTATAGTGTTTTGATGGTTGATAAACTGATTTAAAAAAGGAACCTGATTACCAGCTGAAGATAAGGTTGCTTCATGGAAGATTTTCCCAAATGAAACTGGTTTATATTTCGTTTTATATCAAATATTATTAGATTAAAAACTGAAATATTCAACAGTTTTTTATAATGCATTTTAATGTATGTATATAAATATTCGAAATATACATAGGTAAAAATAAAACTGGCGAATAAGCCTGTTTTAAGGACGATGGAACACATTTAAAAGTTAAAATTAAAACATTTGCGTTAGAAATAGTATTGGAATTTTTAAGTACCATTAAAGCAAAATAAAATATTTGTTCTTTTCTTTTAAATAAAAGAGATAAGCATAACGATAAATATTCATCTATATCTCGGTGTTTCATCGAAATAAGTTTCGAGTAATTTTAGAAAGCGAAAGATAAATGCGAAATATGAGTGACTATATGAAAAAAAAAGAATGAGATCTAAATAATAAAGAAAAGGAATTTTTTAATTAAAAATATCTGAATTGATATACTGATAAATCAAAATTCAGTGATTTTGGAAAAGTAAAAATTTGGACAAAATTTATTGTTAGGCATGACTCGAAAAGCTATTCCGTGCAGAGGAACTTAATATGGATGTTAATAATGCATCTTGTTATTTACAATAATGATTTCAATGTTACAAAATTTATCAACTTGGTATATTGTAAATTAGACGAGTTAAGTAATTTGTGACTGTATCGTAATTAGGCATAAAATGTACATAAAACCATAACTTATGTACATGAATTGTAATTTACCAAGTAATGTTAAATCATTTTGAAATTTAAAAGATAAATTGAAATTCACAATGGCAGTGCTTTTAGAAACTGGCAGTTTGCCAATCCGTGTGGAATAAAAATAAAAGATCTTATGTCATGTTGAATAACACCACATTTCAGAACCTGCAACTGGCCAAGCTAAGAGGATAAGAATTGTTCTGGTATAATGATGTAATGTGACATGAAAAATTAAAACACATTTAAAGGCTATTTCTAACGTTTAAAAAGTTGTAAACATAATTTCAAAAATATATTTTCAAGATTTGAAACTTAAGACTAACAAGTCGTATATGGGTAACATTTGCAATTTGTTGATGGAATTTTCTTTTGATTAATCAAAATGGGCAGTGATGGACCAAATTCTTTCTTTAATTGAAGTACGAAGTTCATTCTGCATTCATTAAGCCTCTTTTTGAAATTTACTTTACTTCAATACTGCTGAACATTTCTGCAAAAACAGAAAAAGCTACCTTGAGTTGAAAATTTATATCCGTTTCTTTTATTCTTAACCCTCCTAGCGACTGGGAGATAAACGATTTCAACCCTGGTAGTTCAACACGGTTTCAAACCTTGGTTGCTTCGGAGTATTCCTGAAGAAACGTAAATCCAAGCCAGTTCCTGTTTTATAATTCCTCTATAAAAGCATCCATTCCTTCTAACAGATAGCTTTTTAATGCTTTATCATAGTTTAAATAAGGCTAGCCTAACCTTTTTTCCTTATTGTTGTTTTTCTGTTTGTTTCTTCGTTGATGTTTAACTAATTGATTATCAATGTATTAAATGCAATTTAGATTTCAGGTGCGTATAACTTGAGTAAGTGTGTACTGCGTACTTTATATGTGTTGTCAATAAACTGTGATAGAAAGATAACTACAAATCAAATAGCTTTACAACAAACGGTTTTGTTCTGAAACAAAAGCGTTTGAGACTTCCATTTGGTCTCCTAAAAATTAAAGGATTATTTTGGAATATAAATTTTCTAATTTATGACGGTAAGAAACTGAAAGATAGAAAAAACAACTAAGCTCATAAAATTCTTTGTTTTATCGCTTTATGCATTTCATTAGGAAATATGCTAACTATATTTCATGTGCTATTTGTATTTCATTTTGATGGTTCTAGTATAAATTCTTAAAGTCTAAAAGAAACGGGATAAGAATAACGCTATGACGTTTCTAAAGCTACGTACGGCTTTTTAAAAAATTAAACTTTGTAGAAACACTCGATTAAATTGTGCAACTTTTACCTTGACAATTTGCCAGAAATTTACGTATTTCTTTTTGCCTCATTAAGAGACGAGACCACAGATTAATTAAGAAATCTTCCAGGCTAAATCTCAGAAGGATTTACATTCCTTAATAGAGTGGTTAATGATTTGCTTAAAACACTGATGAATTTCATACGTGGAATGCAAGAAAAACATAATTAACCTCTGAATACAACTTTTGCTATGAAAAGAGTTTTAAAAATATGAATGATTTCTGTAATTTGAAATGATTTCGGTTGCGTTCATATCTGAGAATCCGAAAGTAAAGATTTCTATAATGAGGACTGTTATAATAATGAGCCAATACAAAATATTTGTTACTTAAAAATGCATGCCGCATGTCAATATGTGGATAATGAAAGAAAATGTGCTCGTTTGCCTGCACAACTTTCATGGCATGCACAGATTTATATTTGATTTCTAGGGCTGCTTTTTAGTAAAAAATAGGATGAAGCTGAATAGAACTGCATCGTCACTTCCCATACATCTATGGTAATCGAAATCCTGATATACAGTTATTCATAGTGGCGCTGATAGCTAGAACAGAAAACCAATAACCTTAATCACATGGGCCTGTCACTAGTCTCGTGGCTGAGATCACTGAATACTGGTAGTCGGACTTAGTTACGAATCCCGATGAACGGGCTGGCTCCATGACTTTTTTGTGGTTATTTCATGGATGAGAAAAATACAAACAAGTTTTCCTTAGAAAGATTTCGATAAAGGATTCTTAGGCAGGGATCCCTTCTTACTCAGACAGTCGATGGGTGTTTCGCTATAATCAGTTAATCAATCGGTTAATTACACGTATTTCAGTGCATTACATAAAATTTCAGTTACTGCAGATAAACGTATCCTACCTTGAATTTTAATATCTCTTAATTAGCTTTCATGAGATATATAACAACCTCAAGGTAACTTTCATTAGCTATTGTAGAACTGTGGGAGGGACATTCGGACAGCTGGACATACTCAAGTGTTATCTAAGGATACTGAGTATTTTCTTACCAATATGTTTTTGAAATTAAGTAGATCAAATCTAAACTAAAGTGAGAATAACTTTTGGTAAGATCTGGTTGTTTTACAAATATAATCTAGGCTTAAGGTCTTTTTTTTAAGACATTTATCCCGTCTTATATTCATATGCGAAGTTTGATTAGTTTTGGTTGGAAAATGTAAATGCATTACATGATTGATACGCAAAATACGTATGATTAATGACAGACGCTTTAGTTTAACGGCATACTTTTATGATATTTTATAGTGTTACATTACCTTATAGAATTATTATACTTATCTAAATTTTCTACCTTCCATTGATGAAAAGATCATCGTTAAAAATTGTATGTGTAATATATGGAAAACCTTTTGAGATTACTTAAAGATAAATCGGAATCAAATAGAAATGTAAACATCGTCGTCATCTGCAAAAGTGTATAGAACACGTGAAATGAAAGAGCAATATATAAGTAAAGAATATTATTTTATTTATAGAAATATAAAAATTGCGATATTAAGAGAGATCAGGGAAGATGTTCGAAATTTTGATCTTCAGGTGTGTAAAGGCTTGATATTGGCACCCAAAAATCATGGGCATTTTGAAATATTCCTGTCATCGTTTTGATGGCGGCGACAGGTACCCA